AGAACTAAGTCATGCAGCATTTTCTGGTCCATTTATGTATTTCATAGGTAACACTGAAATTCAGAGTATTTAACCACATCATTATGATGCCTTAATATCAAATCAGATTTTCCTTTGGTCAGTAGTGTAGATAGCGTGGAGTGACCACAGCAATTATTATAACTATGGCCCAGAAGACTCATAAAATTATTGTTACAGAGAAGGTAGAGTGAAGCAACTTAGAAAAGAAAATTGAACAGTGGTGACAGGAGTGATATTTTATAGGAGTAGGTATCTTTATTTTCTGCTAACCCATGGGTTCTGTGTAATGTCTTAGATTGTGACTAATACTTGTATAGTTATGCTTGACCTTATGATTGAAGATCGAATTCCAAAATTGGTGGGTAAAATGGATTTTTAAAAGACATACAGTACAGCACATGGAATATAGCCAACGTTTTATAATAACTTTAAATGGAGTATAATCTACAAAAATTTTGAATCACAAAAAAATGAGAGGAGCTCATATTACAAAAAAAAAGATATACATTTTCCCTGTTGTAATTTGAAGAATATTTTTTTCTTTTCTTTTTCTTTTCTTCTCATCAGTGTACTATAATATCTGTTTCACTCCAGGTTATTTCATTGTAAGTACTCTGACACTACTAGATCTGGTTCAAGTAAAAAGGGGAAATTTGTCATAAGGAAGTATTTTCAAGATACCAAATACAGGAAGTTTCTTTGGGCCTTATAAGGAAGAGGAAGCTGAAAAGCTAAGAGGATTCTCATTCCTGGTGAACTCTTTTTTTTCTCTCTTCTGTCTGTGTCAATTCTTTTCTCCCAAAGCAAGTCAGCTTTCTGTGCAAGTCCATGTACATGAATACAGATGGCAGCCATAATTTTAGAGCATGGGTAACTTCACTTTAAGAGAACAAAAAGTCTGAGCAACTGTCTTTGAATCCCAGTTCCAACTTCCTCAGGAGGGAGATCATGAATGGCTCAGCTTGAGTCAGGTGACAACTCATGGTGCAATCAAGGGGTGTGGGTAGCAGGTCACAAACCGTAACACAGGGGCTAGAGGCTGACTACTCAGGGTGAAGAAGACAGTTCTCAAAGAAAGAAGGCAGAATCCTTAATCTAAATAAGGACTCAGGAATTAACGCTCTGTACACTGATAATTATGCGAGGGGAATTTCTATTTTGAAGAGTGAATCTTGGTATGGATCCTTTTATAAAGAAAAATATTTTTAGTGAATTGGTACTATACCTCAAATGTTTTAAGTTAAATTTTTTTGTAAAGTACAGCATAATTATAATAGACATTTTGCATATTTTGCCAAATAATCATCCTTACCTGAAGGAGGTTATTAATTCCTGGCTTACAGATGGGGAAATTATTTTAGTTTTTATGCACCAACATTAAACTTATTCAGTTATCTCAAGGGAAGGAGGGACCTGCTTGCCAGGAACACCTTTTTCTTTGGGACTATAATGAAGAATGAAAGAATTGATGTAGAGATATACATATGATAAAGGGCAGAGGAAATTTTGAAAAAAAATTTTGCCATATCCAACCTAACTTTGAAATGAATAGTCCTAAAATATCTGGATGATTCAAAGTAAAAAACATTGCTTGCTTGTCTGTCTACCTGATTCACACTCCTGACTTTGTCTTTCAGTTTATATTACTAGACCTGGGATAAATTAGCCTCTCTCCATAGCTGATGCCTTCAGAAAAGTACATCTTCTCTACCCTGGAAGGAAACAATCTAACTTGTGGATCTATCCCCAGTCTTTTGCTTGAGCCTGTTTCCCCTTCCAAGGGGAAGGACTTTCCTATATCTTTTTCTGCTCTCACATTTATGCTCCTCTTGAGAATGTTTTCATTATTTCATCAGTTAATGGCATAGTTTTGTTTTTTAAAAAATACAATTGCAGGTCTTTGCGTTTATCTCTGTTACAACCCAGCCCTTATCATTCCTGCACACACAGTTTCGTGTCACACAATAAACTGTGACAAATGCTTCAGGATTACTGAGAAAATCCAGCGTATTTCTTATACCCCCCAGCTTGGGGATATCTATAAATTGTCCCCACCACAACCATAATAGGCATTTAATAACTGTGCTAAGGGTTTAAAAATACTTTTTCATCTAATCTTCAAAACAGCTCTTCAAAGAAGATATTCTTATCCTCATTATACTGATGACGAAATGGAAGCTTAGAAAATATAAATGACTTCCTTGGTGAAAACAGTGATTCAAACCTGAGTCAGCCAGACTCTCAACCTTAAGTTCCTAAACGCTGAGCCATGGATTTCCAACCTTTGCACTGAAACCACTTAAGGACTTTAAAAAGAAGTGAATGCCAAAGCCCTATCTAACACATTCTGTCAGTCTTGTGGCAGGTGTGGGTTAGGAATGGCAGTCAGGAGCCACTGCCACCATATTCTACTGCAGTAGAATGACAGAACTTGTGGCACAACACCCCATACTTGACAACTGGCTGCTAATTTTTACTTTGAGATATGGCCATACAATCAGTTTTGAATCTAAATGTTTCATCATCCAACCCAACTCACATTTCTTGTTTCTCCGTGTTGTGTGAAAGATGTCTTGAAAGACTTGGTCAAATGTCTTGGAATCCTCTTTTACCATTTTCAAAGAATAGAAGAAACTTTCTGAAATATTCGCCCTGGGAGCAAATTTCTAGCTATGTCACTACCAGGGATCACATAAAGAGTTAAAAAGTTCTCCAAAGAGTGAAAAGAGCTAAACATTCCAGGGTAATATTGGCTTAAAATCATAGTATTTTTGGTAAGAAGAGAGGCTTTCACTAGTAGAATGACACTAAGCAAGTCACCTTATCTCTCTGTATGGGTAGATTGATTTCTCGTCTACAAGCCTGTGATTAATATATTTCCCTTGCCCACCCTGTCTTCCCTATCCAAATCACTATTATAAAAAAGAATCCCTTCCCCCACAAGAAACCCTCAATATTTACTATTTCCAAATGGCCTTTCCCTGCAAAAAGGCAGTGGAGTAACAGATACCATGCCTGGTTGAATAAACGCATCATTACAAAATATAGAAACATCATTTACTACAATGAATGTATCTGTACTGTTTAGAGTTCTTAAACAGGCTTTTGCCCCCCACCCCTCCCAAAGAGAATGCTTCCATTTCCACAGTTCAGACGACTTTCATTTTAACCCTAACATTAAAGCCACCTTCAGCACTTTATGTTCTTTACGTGGGTCTGTGTTCTGGTTTCTACTCCAGTTAACAGTTTTTGTTTGCAGGAAAAGGGAACTCTCGTGGTGGTTGCTGCTTGTAATTTCAACCTTAACATTCTAAACAGATTTTAGATTTGCTGTTGAGCCACAACTCCTATTTCTAATTTCTTTTTAGAAATTAAACAACGACAACAACCACCACCAAGAACTCTCCAGCATATTTTGCTTGTCAGACAGTAGCCATAGGAATGCAGTTCTCCTGTAAATCCCTTCTTAGGAGAAAACAGGGCTCTAGTTCACTACTTACTTTAAACAAGTCAGTGTGAATTCAAGTCATTTCCGATCCTGCTATCATTTGCTCAAAGACCTTTTGCAATGGGTCTTATGTAAGAAGAAATGCAGGAGTTGCTTTGGTGAGGTTTATTTAAAGAAACCATTAAATACAAGCTTGACCTGAATCGCAGCATCATTTGTATGGGGAAACAGGGGCTATAAATGCATGGTTTTTTTTTTTTTTTTTTCAGATTGACAGAAAGAAGGCTGATGATGAGTGAAAAAGGCCCTACACAGTTGGGTCACAGGCTACTTCTTCGGCCTCACCTCTTACCACTGCCCCTTCCTTCACTGTCCTCCAGCCAGTGACCTCTTTCCCGGTCCTTTGAACTTGCCAAGCACCTTCCCTTCTCAGGGTCTTTGCCTTTGCTAGTGTTTCTGCATGAAACTCTTTTCCCAGATAGCTCATTCTCATCCTTCGGATCTCTGCTCAAACGTTAGTTTCTCTGGGAGGTCTTTCCTGGCCACTATAACTAAAATAGCACACTGCCTCCTCACTTCCTGCTCCTTTACTTTTCCTAGCGGCAGTTATACTCTGGCACATTATACTGATAAATTAAAAGCATTTTTGTCGCGTTATCAGAATACAAGCTCCCGTGGGGCAAAGAGTATGTGGGTTGTGTTCACATATCATCCTTGGGGTCCTACAGCCTGGCACACAGTAGATGCTCTGTAAATATGTGTTGAATGAATGAATGAGGCTCTTTGGGATGGTGGAAGTTGTTTCTCCTCCTTTGCCAGGCCTTGCCGCCATTCCACAGGCATCTGGGCACCTCATTCCACCTTCACCCCTTTCCAGCAGAGGTGACTGGTGGGAATCAGGCGCACGGAATTGCATTGGCGTGAAACGGTGCGTTGGGTTGCCCCAACCCTCGGCGTTACTTCTCTCGGCCTAGCGGCCTGGACTGTGGAGGGGCAGGTTTGCTGCACCCCGAAAGTGGGAGCAAAAGCAAAAAAAGACAACAGTCCGCGGGAGGGGAAAGTCTCTGTGCGGTGCCAGGTTGTGCGCCGAGGGCGCCTTCCCGGCGTGGCTTACTCATTCCCAGCCGCCTCCGGCCACGCACACGGCCATCTGCGGAGGGCCCAGCCCAGCTCAAGTCTCCCCGCCCGCTCACGCCCAGGGGCCACCGCGGGAATCTCCGCGCACGCTCGCCGACTTCCCGAGAAGCCACGGTCCTGCGTAGCCAGTCCCCGTCGGCCCCTCCGCGCGCGCCGGGGAAAGCGCGGCCTGGGTGGAGAGGCACACGCGCGCACGCGCAGACCGGGGGCGCACGCCAGGCGCCCGCGCCCGCCCCCTCCCCGCTCCGAGGAGGCCTCAGCCAGCCGTGAAGCGGCCGCCGCACCCGAGGCCAACTGGGAGTCTGAGTTGGACGTAAATAGGACGTCCCAGACAGTGTCGCCTGCGGCGCTGAGAAGACGGTGTGGCTTGGGAGAGGGTGGAGACGACGACTGTGACGGGCTTCCCGGCTGCCCGAAGTGGGAGTGGTGTGGGCTGCCGGAAGGAGAGAGGAAGAGGAGCAGAAGCGGGCAAGCAGCGGCCTCCGCTAGCGGCCTCCGCTGACGGCCTCCCGGGGCGCTGAGAGGCTGGGCCGGCTCCCGGCTCGCTCGTCAGTTCGTGCCGCCGCCTCGGCCATTCGGCCCCGGGGCCCGGACTTGCGGCGCGCGTCGGGGCGGAGGGCTGCTATCGCCGCGCAGGGAGAGGCCCGGTCCTCGCCGCCGAGGGATGTGAGCGGGAGCAGAACCCGCACGGGAGGGCCCCCGAGGGCCCAGCCTGGCGGACGCTCGGACCCTTGCCCGCTCCAGGGGCTTCGAAGATCGTGGCCGGGCGGAGGCGCCGGGTAGGAGCAGTCCCTGCGGCCTCGGGGCGCGTCCTCGTCGCCTGATCCGTGCAGCGGGTGGGTGTTATTGCTGCCTGGGCTCCGGCAGCAGTTCTCTCTTCACCCTCCCTCCCACCTCCTGATCCCCGCTTCCCCCTCGCTAGTGGCAGTAAACTTCTCGGCAAGAAAATCCTCCTCTTTAAAAGGGAACCTACAACGGAGTGTCTTGCGTTGATATTTGCATCCTTATGTGTCTGATATTCCTCCTCCCCCTTTACTTATTCCTCTTTAAAATTTTCTAGACATCTGAGCAGCCTAGAAAAGAGCATCAATTTCCCCTGGATTTCTGCGGTACTAACTGCTGCTTTTTTTTTTTTTTTTTTTAGGTTTCGGAAGCAGGCAAGGCAACAAGATGTGACCTGTTTCTCTTCTGCAGAAGAGGCCCTTCCTCCCCTTCCCGCGAAGGTGGGTATGCGATCCTGGCTGCTGTCTTTTTTCGCTGCAGTAAAGACGAGGGTGTCTTGAGCTGTTGTGCGTAGGAAGTCCAATGGAAGCGTGTGTCGACGGGCAGGGCTCATTGTCGCTTACTCCTTTGAAAATGGCAGTACTGAACTTTGAATATTGCTCTGGGAGGGTAATTTTGGGGGTTATTGTTGCTCTTGGATCCTTTAAGAAACGTTAGTTGTTTGTTTCTCTGCTGATTGTACATTGTCTTTCTTTGCAGAGAAAACGTTGTCCGTTACCCTTTCTCCTCAAGCAGCCAAAGATTGTTAATCTTTGAACGAGGAACATTTTCCAGTAATAAGAGATACCTATTGAGAGGACACGTTAGCTGCTCTTGCTGGGGTTTCTGCTACCACACTGAATGCTTCGTGAATGGTTTTATCCGCTTAAGTTTGCTGTGTCGGTTGAATTTACCCATTTTGCTTTCCGGTGGTTATTAATCTGTCAGAAGAAACTCCTTTTCTCTGAATGAAAGGATAGAGGCAGCTGAGCATGTCACAGAGGGGAGGAAGAATGTGGAGAAGGAAACTACAAGTGGGAATAAGAGCGATGACGATTGCTTTTGGTTTCATAATAGGTTTGTACAAGTGAGTTGTTGGGCTATTGCAGATATTCTGATATAACACCCAATAGATATGAAGATGAATAATCAACCTTTGGCCTACCTTTGCCTACCCCCTTCACCTTTTACCACTTTAGGTATGAGAATCGCTTGCTTGTATGTGCACATATCTTTTAGTGTGTAACATATCTGCAAAGCAGATGTGTCCAACATTTGCCTTAACAAGTATTTACCTGTACAGGAAAGCTACAGTACTTGCTGACTAGTTAAGCATATAATGCTTGTTTTGGCTCTGAGTGTCCTGTGTTTGGAGTTATTTAGCATGTTTTAGGGACCTGTTAAGGAATAGTTTGTTTCATTTACTGGTTTTTCCTAGTGATTTGAGACAGGTGTCTCACGTATAGGATGGGAACATGATCTTTTCTCTACTTCACCTGGTTATTGCTGAAAGGTGAGATACTTTTGAGGCAGAATAGGGAAGGACATTGGCTTTGGGGTCAGATCTGGGTTTGAATTCTGGTGTTCCTGCCACTTAATAGTGGTATTATTTAAAATCTCTTTGAGTCTCTCTTTCTTATAAGATTGTTGTGAGGATTGAATAAGATTATGCATACAAAGTAGTACATTGCTTGGCTACTGTGAAAGTCATGGCTGGGCAGGCAAAGGATATTCAGAGCAGGGCACAATGACTGCATAAGGTGATCTGCCAGTGACCAGTGTTTCTTCCTCTTTAGTATAAGGAGAAAAAGGACTTTTATGTCTTGAAGTGGTTAAGGGGTCTTAGAGCCTTTTTATGGAAAGGTTTGACCCTTATCATCTCTCTGCACCCCCCTCCCCCCCACATTTGTGCTGCCCCTACCAACTGTTGTGCTGCCCTCTTGTGGTTAACCATGCTAATAATAACTTTCTTTTGCTCCTCTCCCATTATTTTTTATTCTTCTCTTTTTTAGGCCCCTTCCCTTTGCTCCCAGTTTCCCAAACTGTGTGCTGAGGTGGCCTAGAGTGCCACCTTGGGTTCATGCTTGAACCCAAGCATGAACTGATAGTTTGAGGTAGTTCACAGTTTCAACATTAGATTGACACATTCCTTTCTACAATGTCATGTTTTTGCAAAGCTGTATTTTTAGAGGTTGCTCTGATAAAAAGCAACTACTGTATGAAACAGGATACTACAGTGTCATGTTGTCCAATTTGATTCCAGGTTTGAGAGTTTGTACAGTGTCCAACAAGCACTAAGTTATAAGGACATTAACACTTAAGGGGTTTGAACCCACCTACTTAAGTATTTCTTTTGGCCTAAGGGTGCTATGAAAAGATTACTAAGACTAAGAATTTCCTAAATGGAGAAAGTTTGGGAACCTTTGCCTTAGGTTTTGGTTGGCTTTTCTGATAAAATTTTTTAAATGGGAAAACTGCATTTTTTAATGTTGGTCACTAATTGATTCCCCTCCCCACCAAAATTATTCATACAATTATTGATACAGCCGGTTATCAATTTATTGATAAAGCCAGTACTAGCTGATCATAGCTTAGTATATTTACTCTCCTATTTAATATCTTTATAGCTTCTGTCTAGCTCTTTCGTTTTAGGCTAATCCTATTGATTGTCATTCTAGTTACTTTCTGGTTTTTCCAGTACTGTTTTTCTACTAGTATTTTGACCATCTCCTTAAACATAACATACCTTAAATGAAAATCATCTTTTTATACCCCTTTGTAATTTCCTTCTCTCCTAGCCATATAGGCTTTAAATTAGATGTCATCTTTAAACTACCTCTTTCATTTACCTCATATATTAATCCATTCAACATGTCCTATTCATATTTATTTTGTCATTCATATTTCTGCTTCCCCCACTTTTACCACCTGAATCCCGGGACTCTTATCCTCAGCCTAGAATATTGAAAGTCATATCAACCTCTTAGAATCCAGAGTAGTAAGAAATCAGGTTGAAAATGTGGATTGGAATTAGATTATGGATGGTTTTAAGTGCTAGGATGAGAAGAATGTATCAGCACTTTGCTTCATAGGTAATAGACAAGCTTTAAAAGTTTCAGATTGAGAAGGAACTTGCTTAAAAAAGTATTTTAAGAAAATCACAGTGGCACCAGCACTGGGTAGAGTATGAGTTGGAAAGAGAAGTGATAAAGCTAGGAAAATAATCCGGGCCTGAGGTAATGAGGATTTGGCTTTAGTGAAAATAAGACTGGAGAGATGTCACACAAGGCTTAATTCTGGACTGAATCAGAAAGGAGGATGTAGTGCGGGGAGGGAGAGGAGTAATCAAAAATGACTGAAGTTTTGATCCTCAGTGACAGAGGAAATCAAAGAGTGTTGAAACTCTTAAGATATCTGAGAACATGTGCATTAGGAAACCCAGAGAGGTTTAAAAATGTGGCCAAAGTTACTCACCTAATTGGTGACAAAAAGAGAACTAGGGTTTTATTAATGACAGTACTGACAGAAATAGGTACGAGGTATTAGTAGCTGGTTGACGGGATACGGACAACTGGGCTTATATTTTGGATATGTTGAGTTTGAGGTGACAGTGGGGTAAGTAAGTGAAAATAGGTAGCCAGACAGTGGGACAATATGACTAGAACGTAATAGAGAAATTTAAGGCTGGAATTGTGCTTAGAGAGAAGAGCAGTGCATCTGAGATTGAGCCTTGGGAACTGCACATAATTAGAGAATGGGTGAAAGAAGAGGAATTGGCAAAGGCGACAAAGATGGAGCAGTCAGTGTGTGAAGCAGGTGGGTGGGTAGGTTAAGAAGGTGGGATTGATTAACAAGTTTACCATTGTTGATCACTGCCAAGAAGTGAGAAGAATCAGAATTTTAAAAGGTCTTGGGACGTCTCTGGTGGCGCAGTGGTTAAGAATCCGCCTGCCAATGTAGGTGACACGGGTTCGAGCCCTGGTCCGGGAAGATCCCACGTGCCACAGAGCAACTAAGCCCGTGCGCTACAACTACTGAGCATGTATCTAGAACCCTCGAGCCACAACTACTGAGCCCACGTGCCACAACTACTGAAGACCGTGCGCCTAGAGCCCGTGCTCTGCAACAAGAGAAGCCACCACAGTGAGAAGCCTGCACACCACAACGAAGAGTAGCCCCCTTTCGCCACAACTAGAAAAAGCCTGTGCACAGCAACGAACACCCAATGCAGCCAAAAATAAATAAATTAATTAATTTTTAAAAAAAGAAAGAAAAAGTTCTTAAAAATGTGTACTGCTGTCTTTCCTAATATAAAACCTAGAAAAGCAGAAGAAAGAAGAAAATTGCTTATGGTTTCCCCATGCAGAAATAACCATTGCAAATATTTTGTTCTCTCTAGTATAACAAAAAACCGTTGAATTTGACTTTTGGTTGATCAGTGGAGACTTCTATTCAAAACTCTCCATCCCTGGGACTAATGATGAGAATTTTAGACACAATAAAGACTAGGAGGTATTTTTTGACAGAATGTTTGTCATTCATCTGTGTCCTCTCATATCACAGTACACAGGGACCCATATTCCTTATGGGCATTAGCCCTGCATTTATATTATTTGAATGAGTAGACATTCAGTGGTTAGCATTAGACATTCATTGGTCTGTCAGTTTAGACAACTAACCTCTAGGTGCAATTGTACTGGTAAGATCTGAATAAAATGATAAGGTATTAATTGCTAAAAGGAAAGAGAAATTCTTGGTTGATAACTTATAAAACTGAAGGTAGTATAATTAAGAGTATTCAGATTAGGAAAGGACAAAGGAAGTGTTATCTGTTTTTGAAGCCTGTACAGTATAGCTATTCTAAAGGTGAATGAGGTAGAGATAGTCCATGGGCTATTTATTTTGCTTGAATGAGTATTTTGATCTTCACAAGGACACTCTTCTGCCTTTTTTGGTATCAGTCCTTGGGAATAGGGCATTCATTATTGCTTACTAGGTTATTTTAATAAATTCTGATTATGAAATATGCCAGTAGGTAATATTTTTATAATATAAAAGGTAGTGTGATGTGAGGAAGTACACTGTTTTGGAAGTCAGGGGATCAAGGACTGACTGCTGTCAATATGGTGTGTGATTTTGAGCAAGTCACGTAATCAGTGAGTCTTGTTTTTTCCTCATTTGCAAAATGAAGGAGTGGACTAAATTTTTTAAAAAACTGTGTACTTTAAAAAGGTGAAATCACATGGTAAAGTGTGTATAAAGTTTAAGAAGTAAATGGTTTAAATGTTTATAACAAAAAACAGCAGCCCCTTGCCTCTGCCCCCCTCCCCGCATCTCTGATTCTTGTTCTCCAGGAAACCACTTTCAAATCTTAAAACAGTGTCTTCTGGTACTTAGCTCCATATGTGTAAATAACACAATCCACCATCAATAGGCCCCTTTCCTCCAATTCTGTATCTGT